AGAGATAGTGAGATCCATGGGTGTGCTTATGCTGTCATGAAAAAATAGTCAATGTTCCCAACTCCAACTAAGGTAAATATCTTCCTTATTGTTTTACAAATGGTCCAGCCAACACTGCTGCTTTTGTGTTGTGACACAAGTATGTGCATAGGGTGCACGAGACACCTCCAAACAAAACAACAAAATTCAGGGTTCATCTGTCTCCAACTGTGCAAGTTCACCTAAGAAAACAGGACAAAATTATTCTTTTCACTCTACAACCTCAGCACAGACTTTGTGAACAAACTTAACCTTAAATGCTACAAGATCAAGTAATTTCTTCCACAATTAATTTGCCAGCTGTAGGTTTCAAGGCAGAAAGCCTCCAAACCCCAGTCTGCCTTTCCCTAAATCAAAAGTCCTCCCTTTACAAGGAACCCAAATAAAATACCACATCACCTTTCCTGAAAAGGTCTTTACCTCTTTCTGGTCTTGCTCCTGAAATATCAAGATTCAATTTCTGCTTCTTCATTTACATAATTTTTTGCAAGACCCCTTCAGTCTGTGGAAATTCATATCCTCTTGTTGCTATGGGTCCATTCAGTCTCCATACTCTACCACTGAGTAGTTGTCTGTTCTAACCCACAAACAGTCCTGTTTCTTTTCCACACCAAGTACATTAAGATTCACTGAGTTTCACTGCTTCACATGCATTAGAAGGAGGATTTCTCCAGCCCATCATTTACTCCGCAACTTTTCCCCCCAAACCTCTCCACACTGAGGACTCAAATCTTGAGGGATCTTAGCAGCATTTAAAAACACCTGATGGGTGGGAATGAAGAGGGAGCTGGACTTCTCTCAGTGGTGCCCACTGATAGGACAAGAGACAGTAGCACAAATTGAAACACATGAAATTCGATCTAAACACACTTTTTTTTTTTTTTTTTTTTTTTTTTTTTTTTTTGAGGTGAGTGTGGTGAAACCATTTGCTCAGAGAGGCTGTGGAGTCTCTGTCTGTAGAGACACTCAAAACCAGACATAGTTCTGGGTGGCCTGCTGTAGTCGACCCTACTTGAGCAGGGGGGTAGACTAGATCTCAAGTGGTACCTTCCAACCAAAATGATTCTGTGAAATCTCATTTCCAGCAGCGTAAGCTTGTTCAAATTCTCCCTCATGTGGATCCTCTAGGTTTCCATTTCACCAACCTCAGGGAAAACATGACACATGAGGGCTGACTCTAAACATCTGTTGCAAGACTGATCAGTATTAAACAGCAGCAAAGCTTCATCTGCCTTTGCATTGGTACACCACCCTGCTCAGATATGTTCCTTGCAGTTCCTATTTCACTGGCAATTTTTGCCAGTTCACTATTCATCAATGCTTCCAAACCAGTAATAAAGTTTGGTAAGAATCAGGCTAATACAAAACCTTGTGGCATCTTGCTATTAATCTTTTGCTGTGTTGAAAATTGCTTATTCATCTTCTTGCTTTCTACCTCTCAGTTATTTAGACATAAGAATTTCATCTCTGACTGCATGACCACCCAGCCTCCTTACCAGCCTCTGTGCTGCAGCTTTCTGAAAGTCCAACTCCTCTCATTCAGCCACGCTTTTGACATTGTGCTTGCAGAACCTCAGGAGAGAGGCACAAATAAACTTGATTTCTGCACAGGTATTTCAAGAGGTGGAAGAGGGAAAGGAACTGCTGCAGAGCAGAACAATTCTGCTTGTAGGGCTCTGGGCCTAAATTCAAAAGTGAGACAATACATCAAATTGCTTCAGCAAATGAGCATGGCTAGCAGCAGAACACTAGAAGAGGACTCTTGGAATCCTGGGACTAATGACACATGCTGAATACAGTATCACTTAATAAAGTGCATAAATGGCCTTGAAGGCAGGTGAGAATATAGGATGCTCACTGTTTCCTACACCCACAGCTGTTGGATTAATCAATCTTCTGCCTGTTTTATCCCTGACCAGAGTGCTCGGTGGCCTGCATACAAGGATTCAATTTATGTATTTAAAAATTGAAAAACACAAGTGCTAGTGAACCATCAGGCATTTGCTACAGAAGTAAGTAAAACAAAAAGCAACTTCTAATAGTAAAGAGTGGGGAAATACAGGACAGAACATTTCAGCAGTTGAACAAGACAAAAACTGCACATACAAGTATACATCTGTGTGCTTCTCTGCATACCTGCTTGATGTTTAAAGATTGGGTGGGTGAACCGTCAGGGTCAAAGTGAAGTTTTTAGGTTCTAAAGTTTTCCTTGCAAGCTCAATTAACAGGTCAGAAGTTATAAGCTCTGTATGCATGTACAAATTCCCATATTTCTGCTTTTTAGTCTTCTGAGTATCCTGGAAAAATGGGGAAAAGTGTCTGCAAGATACCTCTGTCAACCTTGTCTAACAAAAAGAAAATCAAATTATAACAACAAAAATTAGAATATTTCCCACTGAGAGAAAGACTACTTAAAATACTTGAACTTCAGAAATTATTCATGGTGTATTTCTGAAACACTGCCATGCAGCAAAATAATAATTTACACTTTTTCTGTTCAGAATATACCTATCAGCAATTCCAATTTTCTCAAGTTGGTAAGTTAACAGATAATATTTCTCTACGCCATATGACTGATTCAATTGATTTCCTGAACATCTTACAAAACATTCTTAGCTTAAATCATAGCCACCGACAACAAGACAGGTCCCACAACATTCTGTTACTTTCCCGGAGTAACACCAAAGATTTTGCTGGCACAAATATTGGAAAAACAAATGTAACTTTTGGGTCAAACACTTCATTTAAGTATTTTCTGTCTATTTTTAATTGCTGCTTTAATAATCTTTCTTGATAAGGGGCAGTTAAAATTGCTGTGGGAAGTGATGACAACCCACAATCACAGTCAACATGACTAGTTTTTTGTTGTTGTTTTAAACACCAGTGTGCCCCTTTATTAGCACTACATTCCATAATAGAATTGGATAAGCTTTTCAAAGGTTAATAAAATGCAAAAACTGAAAACTGGTTTCTTACAATCTAAAGCAACATGCGAGTTTAGCAGATTGTTTTACCTAAGAATAGTTATTGTAAGTGTTAGGCTTTTGACATGTTTAAAGTGACAGCTTGACTTCAAAAGTCAGTTTGTATTTTATTAAAAGCAGGTGAAGAAATCTAAAGAAAGAAATAAACATTAAACCTTGGGTCAAATAAAACAGTTTGGCCAACCCATCATTTTTCCCTTCTTCGGGAATAGGATGAAAAAGTCAATTACTTGCACAGCTCCCTCCCAGGAGATATGGTTTGTCACCTGCCAACAGCCACTGCTGAAATTACACATACCTCAATGTGGGATGATTTTATTCTGTATAATCAAGTTTTAAGGAGTGATGGTGGAATTTGCTTGTTTCCAGGAAATTCACTTTTTCTCCTTTTCGCTTCTTTTTATGCCACTCTTTGGAAACTGATCACCCATTTTGTGTAAACTTGAAAACAAATTCCTTCATGATCAATGTTTTTAAGAAAGTAGTCTATACTAGTCAGTGCAGTAGTACACAGCTTAATAAGATGGTGCTTAGTCAGTGTGGACAGCAGAGGATGTAAATTTTTAAGCACTTTTTATGAATCCCCAGTAAATTTTTTAAGGAGGTTGACTCCAGTTAATTTGATTTCATTTTCCCCAGCATCAGCAAAAGTTGGTATGAACAACCTGTTGTACCTTATGAAAAGTTTCTACAGAACTAATGAAATCTGATTATCTGATGATTAGTAATCATTATTAATTGTAGCTAGCAGTAAGACAGAAATTGTGAACACTTTAAAATTAGTAATCATTTATTTTGTTTAAGCAGCAGCATTGAAGCAAGACAAGTAAATGAGTTTGGAGATCTTTGAAAACATGTAATTACAAAGCTGCTGCTTTTGCTGAGTGAAGATGTGGCATGTTCATTTAAAAGACGACCATGAACTTCAAACTAGAAGCATCATAAGCATTTCTAAACTAAATAAAATTCTAAACTAAATAAAAATTTTTTTAAAAGTCAAGCACACTAAACATTATTGAATGATATTGACTGTAAACCTGATAGCACGTCTGCTCCACGGAAGTGATTTTATCATTGCTGAACCAGAGGAAATAAGCATATCTGTTACAATTTGCAGTTTCAAGCTGTGACTACTTCAGACATCGCTCCTGGTACCCTGGAAGATGTCTGAATACCTGTTGGGATCAACAAGAAAACAAAGAGGATCTTCAAGAGAAGTTGGGTTTTTTTTTGCTAAGTAGTACACACTATACAGTGGTCCCTTTTCAAACAAAAATTGTGGTTCAAACCTTGGGAAACAGACAACTTCACAAGAGGAAGGATGAACTCTTAGCACTCAACACCCTTTTCTTTGGGGCAATATTTGCTTAAGTAATATATCTTGGAGAGCAACTGCAACAGCTCTTCCTCAGCAAGACAGCAGACCCACTTCAGGAGCCAGGTTTCCCTCCTGCAAATCCTCTGGGGCTTCCCTGGAATGGTTGAACTTCTGCCCAAAGAGTCAGTAAAGAAAAAGGTTCAGATTTTTAAAAGCATCTGGTTATATGTGGTAAGATTACCAAAAGCATATAGGTGTCTTTAAACAGCTAATCCCCTCAGTTCACTTCATCTTTGAAGGTGGGAGATCAGAACCTAAATGAAAAATCTCAAAATGGGAAAGAGACTTCTCTTCCCTCTCCCAACTGCAAGGTACAAAGGACATGGTAGCTTTACCTTGTCAAAGAATTTTACCTTTACAAAGAAGCAACTTTATCCTGTCATTCCTGCAGCTGTCCAGCTAACGAATAAATAATTAAAACTAAAAGTGAACCTTGCAAATAATTATTTCAGTTGTGAACATCTAGGCTTGAACTTTTCAGTAACAGTTATGAAGTATCCTGATGCCTTTGATGAAAAAAACCCAAAGAATTGAGATACTGAACAACAGCAATTTTAAGTAGTCCAGGTAGAGCCAGGATTTAATTGAAATTCATTACTCATATATCTCTGGTGAGTTTCTCTGTGTTATATCAACTAAAAGCTAGATAGAAGGAACTCAAGAAAGCAAGACATTTTTCATAATAGAAATAAAGAAATTGGTAATAAAAATTAAACCCCACATCTTCAAGTAGAGATATACACTGATATTCTCTAACACCTCTTGAAATACAATTTAAGACTTGCAATCTAAGTTTCTTTTTCTCTGAGACAATTAAAATGGCAGTTACCTGCCTCTCATGAAGGAATATTTCTGCTCACAGTCTTCCTGCTTTCCTAACTCTTTCTGCTTGTATGCTTGCATTGTACAGTCAAGAAATGGTAACAGGAAGGGGATGAAGTTACAGATATACAGTATCACGACAAGCAGCTCCTGATACTGACCTATACTCCTGGATTAATAGACACTTCTCATTAATATACATTACTAAGTTCCTTCAGACCTCTCAGTTTATGATGCAGCTTTGTTAACCAAAAAGCCAGTAATGGTACAAAAAAAATGGTACTAAGACAGCATATACCACATCAGGAATCACGGAAGTGTTACTTTAATGATAAAACCCTTAGTACAATGTTAAAAAATAAAGCATTACCAAAATCAGTTTGATAGCAACAACAGAAACCTATTTTCTATTTAGCACAAGTTATTTTTAGCTTTCAGTAGGCTCTTCCAGACAAGATGGAAGGCTAGAGTTCCTTCTTTTTTTTTTTTTTTAAAGTGAACATAAAAATCTTGTTTCTGCTTATTTAGAAGCCTTGTAAAAATTTTTGTAGCTGTGCAACTATTTCTGTATCCACGGTTTCCATAAGTGCCTGAAAACCTTGTTCTCCCAGTAATTCCTGCTGTGCCTTTAGCTTCTCATAGACGAACTGCTGCAATGACACAGTGTGTACAGGGTCCTTCAGTGCAAGCTGTAGAAAACATGTAAGAGAAAAATATATAATAAAACACTAAAAAATACACTACAACTTACTTATCTCTTTTATAACCTCAGCTCAAGAAAGAAATCTGCTTTGTACTTATTTGAGAAACGAAGAGGGAGAAGACTGCAAAGCAAAGATCAAATTAATTATTATCAAAAGCAAGTATCAGTTTAAAACTATTTGAAACAGTCTCAAATCATGGACTGAGTCTTCTGTAAGACTTCACCCTTCTATAAAGTAAAATAATTTTAAAGCTGCTTTGTTAATTACTGCTGAGTGAGTTTCTCATAACTTCTAGAAAACACATATTACCATGATATGCACTTTAGAGATGGCATGAATGGCATGATATAACCAACATTTTGTTAGTAAGGAAACAAAACACTGAAAAAGTTGAACTAGTTTAGATTATATGACAAACAAAAACTAAAATAAACTGTACATATGCATAAAAATTAGACACTTCTTCAGTACTAGTACCTATACAACCTCATCAGTCCAGCTGGATTATGCAGTTTTCTTTTGGGCAGGGAGGGACAGAGCATTTGTCACTATTTTCCACAGTTAACTGCTAGGTGAATGAAAGGGCTACACTGACAGAAGACCTAACCATAACTTCAGTATCAGAAGACAGGTGTGATCAGGCTAAGGACACAGAGTTATACAGCATTTGTCCCTCAGTCCATCAGGCTGGATGAAAGGGGACAGGAGGTGGGGACACCTGGAACTTGCCAGATCATAAAGAAGTATAATGTTGAAAGAAATGGGCAATTACAGCAGACCTGTAATCTCTTCATTTTAGTATCAAAACCAAACAACACTACTATTTATGCTGGAAGGTCAGGAAAGAGTGTGATGATAGATCTTAAAGCCCACTGAAATAGAAGACTTCTGAGCTCATAATACCCTGCTATACTGCTACTTCCAAAGAAACGAGGCATATTAAACTTGCACAGCTGTTGTTTTGGCAGGATCTAAAAAAGAAATATTTGAATTTTAATATGGGGTGAAAGACATTAAATCTTAAGATTACTTACTTATTTATTAAACAATATTACACCTAAACCAGGGGGAAACACTGAGATAGCCACATAAATATAAGATGGGAGTAAAGCATTCAAAACCACTGTATTTACCACAAAAGAGAAGTTAGTCTTATTTCTCATGAACAACTCCAGTGAAAAAGGAGGCTGCTTTTTAGCCTCTTCCATCAGTGCTTTCAAGTTCTTTCTTATTACAGTCATCTCACCTTTCATACTGTAAATCTCTCAATCATTCCCTCAGTATTCCTAATACTGTCTTTTTAGCCTTCGATCCTTCACCATTTTCTACTACCCTGCTATTTTACATTTCAAAGGTAAGATATGATTTTTTTATTATTTATTTCTAACATTACACTCTTGAAAAGGGGAATAGTTGCAAACAACAGTTTAGTATTCTGTAATAATTCTCAGTAAATGTAAGCTGGTCTCTAGAATACAAACAGACTTTTCTAACAAAATTTCTAAACCACAGCTACTGTAACCAAGATTTGCCACAGTTAGTAATATCTTTTTGTAACAGCATTAGCATAATCTAGGATAAAGACTGTCTTGCCAAGCAAAGAATCTAACAGTTTCCAAATAATCTGCATTTGTTAACCAATTACTGTAATTTGGGACACTTACAGGTGACCCTGATAATGCAGCACTAGTCACCTTGGGAAGCACCACCAAAAAGCCATTCTTTAACAACCTTTTAACCCACAAACCAACTCATTATATATTTAGTTAACTGTATGATTTATGTGACCCTACCATAGATCCTTAAGTACTCAGATTTAGAATGGAAAGTCAGAACAATTTGCCTTAAAATTTATCAACAATTTAATGTTATAGTTTATTCTGATACCTAAAAAAAAAAAAGAAAAAAAAAACAGACTTAAGTCAATGGTACATAAACATCTCATTTCTCAATGTTCACTAATAAATCTCAACTTAAGTCCAATTTTTTTTCCCAATTTTAACAAGCTACTATAGAATTCAAGTATAAGTGTAATCCTCTTCTAGCAGCCCAAGGATGGTTTTCAAACTCTGAACGAAAATGCTGTATTGTTTTGAAAATAAAGGCTTTGAATACTTGCTTATTTGCAAAGCTTGCTGGCACTTCAAGTCTGAGCTATCTCTATCACCTCTTAAAATAATAATTATAGAGATGCTCTCTAGCATCTCTTAGAGGTGCTAATCTTCTAGCACCTGCCCCATGGCAGGTGACAATGGGTTTCCAAATAATCCTCTGAGTCATCTCTGCAATGCCACCAAAAATAAGTAATCTTGAAAAAACAACCAAAGTGAAGGCAAAACATAATACATTACAGGAATAAAAAACAACTTTTAACGGAGCTGCTGGATTTGCACAATGCTGGGAGTTACAGGAATAGTCTACAATATGCACTGCAACATCGGTACATAAATACTTTGATTTCAGAAGTATTATAATTCCACATTTTCATAGAAATTCAGTAAAGCTAGTGAACTTTATATGTACTCTTTCCATTAGATAGGAAAGTAACTGAAACACTTCTGCTGAATATTTACTAATATATGTTCTATTGGGACAAGTGAGAAATTCTACTAAACTGTGGGGGGTTGACCCTGGGTGGACAGCAGGTGCCCATCAAAGCCACTCTATCACTCCCCCCCTTCTCAGCTGGACAGGGAGAGAAGATATAATGAAAGGCTTGTGGGTCAAGATAAAGACAGAGAGATCATTCACCAATTACTGTCACAGGCAAAACAGACTCAACATGGGGAACTGTTTAATTTATTACCAGTCAAATCAAAGTAGGATAGTGAGAACTAAAAACTAATCATTAAAAGACATTTTCCTCCACCCCTCCTTTCTTCCCTAGATTAACTTCACTCCCAATTTTTTCTGCTGCCTCCCCTACAGTGGCACAGGGTGATGGGGAATGGGGGTTGTGGTCAGTTCATCACCCATTGTCTCTGCTGCTCCTTCCTCCTCAGGGGGAGGACTCCTCACACTCTGCCCCTGCTCCAGTTGGGGTCCCTCCCACAGCAGACAGTTTTCCACAAACTGCTCCATTTTAAGTCCATCCCACAGGCTGCAGTTCTTCACGAACTGTTCCAGCGTGGATCCCTCCCACGGGGTGCAGTCCTTCAGGAACAGGCTGCTCCAGCCTGGGTCCCCCGTGGGGTCACAAGTCCTGTCAGCAAACCTGCTCCAGCGTGGGCTCCTCTCTCCACGGGGCCACAGGTCCTGCCAGGAGCCTGCTCCAGTGTGGGCTTCCCGCAGGGTCACAGCCTCCTCCAGGCATCCACCTGCTCTGAGTGGGGTCCCCAGGGGCTGCAGGTGGAGATCTGCTCCACCGTGGACCTCCACAGGCTGCAGGGGCACAGCCTGCCCCACCGGGGGCTGCACCGGGGGCTGCAGGGGGGGTCTCTGCTCTGGTGCCTGGAGCAACTCCTCACCCTCCTTCTTCACTGATCTTGGTGTCTGCAGAGTGGTTCCTCTCACATATTCTCACTCCTCTCTTCTGACTGCAGATGTTGTTCTGGTTCAACTAGGATAGGGATGAGTTTCCCCAGCAGAGAGAGAGGGGGAAGGGATCTCCAGCCAGGTTATTCATACCATGCTGATGTCAGGTCCAGGGGGGCAAACTCTGATTTTACTTTCTCTTTGGCTTTTTGGTGGCGGGGAGCTGATCCGTGACCATTTTGCAGTATTTATCTGTGTATCTTTTGTCTTGTTCACTGTTATTGCTGTTTATTGTTGTCATCATTGCTACTGTTGTTGTTCAGATTGCTTATTACACTGTTGTATTAATTTTCTTCTTATTTTAACCCGGGTTTGTGCCTCACTTCCAGCCCGACTGGCTGAGGGTGGGGGAGGGCCAACAGCAACATGCTCTCCCAGCAGGGCTTAAACCAACACAATGTGCATGGATTTTTATTACCTTTTCTTAAATATGTCATCAGAGAGGTGCTACCACCACCACTGATGGGCTTCGCCTTGACCAGCGGTGGGTCTTGGAGCCTGCTGGCATTGGCTTCTAACAGTTTCTCACAGAAGCCACACCTGTAGCCCCCTTCACTACCAAAACCTTGTCATGCAAACCTAATGCAAACACTCTTAGTTTGTTGTAACAAGCATAAACCCATCACTCACAGTTCAAAAAAGCATCACTGTCAACCAGTAGGGACTTTTGTAGTATGATTAATGCTTGCTGCTTGAAGCACATCTAGTATTTGTAAGCCAAATGCACTTGAGTCTTCAGACTTAATTAAGGAGTTAATGCACTAATTTGATTTCGTTCAGATAGTCAAAAATATTTCAAGTAAATTAAAGAGTTTTTTGCAACAATAATACATTTGCTTTCCTTTCATGCTGCATTTTTAGAACTTGTATTCAGAACTATCAAAACAAATGAAATAACTTGGCATAATTAGTTTGTCAGCAATATTAGACAATCATTTGCAATCTTAGCTGAATAAGCAATCAAAATCCTAAGTCTGGTAGCACAGTAAACTCATTGAGTCACCAGCTTGCTAAGCACCGAGCATCCAACATCAGTTCAGCATGGAACACAACCATATCAATATTAACACTGACTACTTAAGTCTGTAAACACCGTGTCAGGGACTGTATTTTTGAATGGAAGTATGTATGCTGAGTTCCTAGGCGTGTGGCCAGGTTTTTTTACTGGAAATGCTCCTGTTTCTCTTAAGAGCAAAATACGCTTACTTTCCAGGAAACAGAAGTTTGGCAAGGAAATACACACTACTAAACGTGCTTTACACTGCTCAGTGAAAACCTGTTTTGACTAGCTTTTGAATCTAGTTACTTTATAAGTTAATCTTGTAACTGGACACAGGTGCTTACCTTGGGGCTGGACTGAAGAAACCAATCTGCCATCTCACTGGTAGTAAAGAGCAGTTTAAATCAGAAAAGCAGTATAGAGGTTTTACACAACAACCACTTTTCATCCCTCCAAACTCTGCTTGCCATCATCAGTGGCATTCTGCAGAATTACCAGTTGTTTGAACCAGTATTTGTTAGGTGGATCTCTTTAGACAACACTACAGTCAAAAATCACAGTTTCCGTTAAAAAATTATATAATATTCTGTACTAAAACAGTGATCTAATCACTACAAGAGATGACACAAGTCAATGGAATGGCAATAGAATGCAAGAACAGGTAAAATTTGGAGAAGTGTTTTGGTTATATCTGTTTTTGTTGAAAATTTTTGCTGAATTGTTGAAAAGATTTCTAGAATTTGAGAGATTCTCTTCAGTTTAAGAATGGATACATTGATACTAAAGAGGAAGCAAGAATGCTGGACATAAAATTATACATATTTACCATGATGGTTAGTGACTGTGACGCTCTGGGAAAGATGGGAAAAATAGTTTAAGGAGGGAATGTATCCTTTAAACAGTGATTATAAAATGGAGCCAAACAGTATGAAAGGCTCCCAATATCAAAGCTTTTTAAAAGATTTCAGTAGGACTTGTATTAGATCTGTGGATAATTTGCATAAAGAGAAATTATACCCCAAACAGTGAAGTAGAAGTATTACCTCTAGTAAACAACATTATCACATAAAACCTGATCATCTAGCTTATTACAGTGTAACTCATTTATTTATTTATTTTCCTGAAGATGTAAAATCACAATCTAGCTTCTTCCCATACTAGGTTGAAATAAAAAAACCCCTGTATTACATATAAGCATCACCTAAAACATGCACCAGCATGAGTAATTCAAGTTTAAATAAGACTTTAAATAAGATTTTTAATTGAATGTACTTTTCTGCTCCACGATTTCAAATAAATAGTTGCTAAAGCTTGACTCCCTTTTGAATAATGATACCAGAGTTCTTAAAAATATACATTAAGGGCACATAAAAATAAGTCACTTGCATTGCACATAGTGTATAGACCTCCATGTCATGAATTACTCTCCACCTGTTTACATTTTCTTCAACATATTTGCAAAAATATAGCAGTATCTACAACTGTCAATCACATAAGATGATCATAAACTTATAAAGCGCTGTTCTATCTAAAGCTCTCTTTAGTAATGGTGAGCTATGCATAATAATAAAGAGAGGTGCCAATGACAGGACAAAGAGATAGATCAAAGAAAAATATGTAGACCCTGTGCTAACACTGGGAAGTGATACTTAGCATGGACCATGTTTATCTCTTCTCTCAAATTAGTGGCCTTAGAAGTTGCAAAGCATTATTATTTTGAAAGAGAATTCCATTTATCCTTTCATTATTGTGTTATGAGGTTTAAGCTCTAAGCCCTGATACAAGATGCTGATTCAGCAATGGAATATACAGAAGGTAGAAACTCCTCAGGAATGAAGTGGGATAGGAGCCTAGAAACTTTAAATCTATTACGGACTCCCTTTAGGTCCTTCCTGATTTTCCTCTTCTCACTTCAAATGTTTGCTCCCACTTTTATCTCACCAGAGGTACCTGCTACTGCAGTTGTTCCAAATGTTACATGAATTGAGTGTGTGCACTGATATTCCTACAGAGAGGAAGAAATTTCCAGTATAGGTGGGAAGGAATGGGCCCAGGTAATGTTTTGGTTTTAATCCAGTTTTTCAAATCAACAGCTAGCTGTGCTTTGAAAGCCATGATTAACAATCCCAATCATTATTTGACACTTCTACTACTAGTGACCTACTGAAACAACCTGTATTATTCTGAAATAAACAGCCATTAGAACTGTCATGTCTCAGTTGCTGCACCATCCACAAAATTTTAGACTGAGCAATTTCAGCTGTGATTGAGAATTAATTTATAGCAGACATTCACAAAACAACTAAGAGTTTGCTTGCTTTAACAGCTGTGAGAAATCACTTAGAAATAAGAATACAATGAATAGTAAATTTAGCTGAAAAAAATGACTATAGAAGGCTCAAGTCTGAAATATGTTGTCAATAACGAGCTAAGTACAGGAATGAGAAGAGTAAAACAGAAAGCTATTCTTACAAGAGTACTGAAAGGAGAAAAACAGGATTTTCAGATAATGCTTCGGAATCTAGAAAACACAGTAACTGTGGAAATAGTTACGTCTTAGATTATGAGATCTGAAATGAAAGTGAAGCTTCAAAGTTCATGTATGACAATATACTCTGTGTAAATCCTCCAAGGAAACAAAGGCTGAAAAGGTGGTTAAGCTGAATGTTTAAAGAATATCTGAGGAACAACTCACAAGCAATTCATTAGAAAGAAAAAGACAAGTGACATGCAAGGGAAGATGTATTGCCCATGTAAATCAAAGCCTGCAGTGTCACGTCATTGGTTCTGGCTCCTCCTTACCAAAGCATAGCCATTTATCTTTATTCAAATGGCCACTGACTGTACTGCATGTGACCTCAGAACAGGTCCTTATTATGGCTATGTTCTTCAACAGCATGCTGGTGCATTGTATCATTTAGGAGGGAAGAATAATACAGGTCATAAATCACTGTGCTCTACTTTACATTTTTCCTGATATATCTATGCTGAAGGTAGTCCATAGCAAATCTAACAGGTTCCTAAATACATGTCCAAACTATTAAAGTCAACCTGTAACTGAAAAATTAAGACAATTTCTGCAAGAAAGTTACTAAAGCTTTAGCCAGGGAAAAATAAATATGAGTACATTCAAAGAAAACTAAACCCATGAAAAGACGGCACATTTAAATTCATTTTGTCTTTTAAATCTGATTAACAAACCAAACACATCTCTGTTCCTATTGATATAGATACATCAATCCCTATCAATAAAGATATATCTGCCTATATATGTCAAGAGATTATCCAAAACTGCTAAGAATAAATATCATTCTGCAATAAATGTCTAGAGTTTAATTTAAACCCACAAGATGGAAGAAAATTTAACCTAATTTAACACAGTCTAGAGATGCTTTTAAGAGTAACTGAATTACAGAACTAATACAAAGGACCATAGAAAATAATATTTATGTATTTCGTTTATATCTGAAATTGCAAGACACTAGGAATTTCTCTCAAGGCATTGCTAATAGCAGAAGAATACACAACAGTTTAAGTGTAATTTTCCTTTTTAATAAAGGAACCATATATTGATTAGTATTTAAAAGAAAAGCCTACTAACAAACCAAAAAGCATCCAGTGATTTAAAAAAAAATAATAATGCAAACTGTCAAAAGCCATCCGAGCTCTTATCTGCTTCCACAAGAAATAAAATGCTAAAGGACTGTCCAGAAGTATTCTTTTGGATACACATAGGTCAGTTAAACCAAATGCACAAGAGAGCTACACACATTTACTCAGTCACCCAATCCCATGTTTCGCAATTATTCAATGACAAAGCAGTTCAGACTATTTTATTCCACAGCATCTGTACTCTGCAGTTTGTGTGTGAGGAAGCATTTTCTCTGATCTCTTGCAAAAATAAGTTAAAATTATGAAACATTCACAGACTGGGTTGGACAAAAATAGCACAATTACATGGTACCTAATCTTCATCTAAATCAATGCTCCTTATTAAGAGTTCATTAGAAAAAGGTTCTATGCAAGCATATGGATCAATAGCTGTGCAAGTAAAACACATAATCCAATATAATTGGGATTGTTTTAAATATGATAAATTTGGTCTGCAATGACATTTCAGTAAGCTTTACCTCCCTGCATTTTTCAGTAAATGCTTTTTATAGTGTTTTAGTATTATAATGTCCAGATTTTGTGAACAGATGATCTTTACTTTGGCAACATTTTCCAAGACTTCAAAGCAAAGCAGAAGCGTAAGCATTGTGGCTGTAAACTTTGTCATCAAAACATTTTCCTTTTTTTATTAATTCAAGAGATGAATTTTCCAAGAACAACAGATGATCCAAATCCAGAGGCAAAGAATTTAGTCTGACGAAAGCGAATCACATAATCAGTTCTATAATTGAACACAGATCTAAAACTTACCATTTTTTTCCTTTTGTCTTGTTCTGTGGGAGGTTCCTCATCTTCTGTAACTTTGAGCTCTTCAAAATGAGACATCAACATGCAGCTAAGAATGGAAATAAGACTACTTTTAACACACATTATCATTAAAAATTATTTTAAAGCACTTTTAAAAACAGGACAGATAAGAGAGTTTGATGAAAGCCAGACAATCTGCAAGCAAGTAATTTTTTTCTGAGAACAGTGAATCTAAAGAAGCCTGAATGCATGTTCTGTGTTACCTAAACCACATAACAATGTTATCCTTCGCATTTTAACTTAAGTTGTGGCTTAAAAATGCAATTCTGCATATAGAAAATGGACTATATGGGTTTCAAAAAATATAGAAAAATATACTGTCCTAACCTGAATTTTTCAGTCTTTCCAAGGAAGTGCATATAAGCACTCTGTATCCTATCAACATGAAAATCAAAGTGGCACATATCTAAAACTAGCAAAGATGTCTCATAACATCCATGTTTTCCTGTGAGATCTTTAATGAGGATCTGAAAACTAATGTGGTCACTGCTATTGGTTCTAGACACTAAAATCTGCAAGACACAGAACAATCATATTTTAGATAGACAGAAATGAGTTAGCTTCTGCAGTTATTTATTTAAAGAGTTTTTTTCTAGGCATGTAAAGCAATACTTTTAAATGTCTTATTTTTTGTTTTGCTTCACCCTCAACTGGTAGGTATCAATATGCATGAGTAATAGCCAAATTGTAACTATTATTTTTGTAGTAAGTATAAAACCAGAAAAAAAAAAATCTTAAATTCCAGAGGTTCTTTTGTCTCTTGAAACAGTTTGAATGGACTTTATAGAGACTGTGGTGAAAACTATCCTACAGCAAACGTGCCTTCCATTCACTTTACATTCTCTACACGGAAAGAATACATACATATTCCACCACTTTACCAAAGTTTTCCTAAAAAATCTGTTTAAAAAATGAAAGGATTTAAAAAATCACTCAGGTGACAACAACTTGCTGCCCTATACTAGGTATGTTTCATGGCACATAATCTACATATTACAAAGCACCAGGACAGGTGCACATTATTGCTGATGTTCAGCCCTGCACTACTGTGTATTTTTAATTGCTGGGTTCCATTAGCAAGTGAAATGTTCCTGTAGCTAAGATGAATAATTTGTTTTAAAGTTATGAAATAAGAAGAAGTTGCGATTTTATGTGAAAATGTTAAGATTTACTCTGCTTATATATTCAGTTTTCTGTTAACGTGTTTAGAGCTGTATGAAACACTTGCTAAACAGGAAGGTGGAAGAGTCAAATGCTAACATAGAAGCCACTTCCAAAGGAGTTAAGTTTTTTCAAAATTAGACAGAAAACCACGTCTCCTCTCGCAACTCAGTTTATTAAAAAGGAGACAAAAATATGTAAATTACCAAATAAGATTGAATTAACTTTTTCAGATGGTGATAAATTTCAGGTCCCAGAGAATAATTTAAAAAACTAGGAGAGGATGGAATAAAAAAGTAAGATGAAATTGAAAAAATGTGAATACTGGTGAGACAAGACTAGAACAATGGAATGCTCCTTGTTCCAGAAAATCTCAAATCTGTAAAGCTTTCTTGTAATGCAAAATATAAATGCTAGGAAAACTTGAGTGTAATCTCTTTGTACTGTAGCCAGGGCATCGTGTAATAATTTTCAGAATCTGATCAAAATTCCATCTAAAAACTGGCAAGACCTTTATCTCCACTTTTGCATTTGAAACAGCTCTTCCAAAATTTCATTGCTTTAACTACAATGGTTTCTTCACATTTCCATTTTAAATGTATTCATGGCTAGCTCACACTTAAACCATCGCTATCATTTATTTTGTATGGTTTTCCCTGTGCCTATTTACCCCTTCTTTATCCTTTAGTGGCTGCAGTTCTATATTGCTTCAGCTTTGGTTTTCCTAAGCTAAACATGTATATATGTTGGTTTAGTCTCTGCACTACAGTAATTAGATACTATTGATAGCCAGCACAGTACACTTTTTTTTTTTCCTGAGCCAGTTCATGTTTAAATCATTCTTCTTCAACCTGCAGAAACAGAATAGCACACAACTCCAGATGACTGCTCTCATTTTATTTGCTTTCAGATGATGTCAAAATGTAGAACACAAATGTCCAAATCTTTCAAACAGCCCATTCAATATCTGTCAACAGGAATACATCCTTGGTTCAGTGTGCCTATATTTTATAAAGCAAAAACAGTGTCCAGAGTTTCGAAAAGTACAGTGACAAGTTCTACAGGCCTTCAAGCTTAAAATATTAAATGTACTAGGAAAAAGTTTTATTTATTTCTCTGATAACTGTTTTTAACAAGTGCAGGCAAAGTAACATGTTTTGAAATAGAAGTGACCCTGACATTGTCTCTGATAGTAAATAGAACACAGTGCCAAAGCACGTTGCCAGACTTTGAAGTTACATCATTTCTACTGAGAGATAGAAAAAAAAAAAGTACTTTTGCAAGCAGTTCTTGAGCACAGATCAGGCTCAGCATGTATGGACATCGTCAGAGCACACTAGTGTGCATACCACCTGTTTTAAGTGGAGGAAAACTTAATAGATTGCATGCAGGCTGTTCTGTGCCAACTGGCTTCTGTGCCAGCAAACATCCCCTTAGGCAAGTAATTAGTTCAGATATAGTTTGTTCCATCACCAGGTAATTATCTGAAAGTTAGAAAACGTTTGATTCTTAGCATCCAGTAAATAATGTTATTATAGTGTCTGTAGGTACATCTTGTAGACCACCTGTTTTTAATGTCTTACAACTCTCCATCATTCTAAAACCAGGTAATCATTAGAAAAAACACCATTAAGATCTGTCTTAAAAATCCTTACTATTCAGTGGTTTTTTACTTTTCCAGGTTTGATGAAGTATCACAGTAACCTGGGAGTCTGCAGAAGATGAGTGTGTTTCTGGGCAGCAGTGCACTCTGAGCACCCCTGGCATCACCTTCCTGCCACAAACTCTTGCTCCCAGGTCTGGAAACTCTGGAGGTATGGCCTCTAGCATCAGGTGTGTTAAGTGGAACAACTGAAGGGAGAGAATTGTCCTTGTGGGATAGGTTTTTCAATCTCTCCAGGCCATGAAGTATTGTACGCTAGGACCACTTAATGAGGCTGCAGCATTTAGGAAAAGATCTTGGTTAGACTCCAGATGCCACACTCAAAGAAACTGTGACTGACCACCCTATAAGCACACAAGCCTGTGGGATTGTAATTTTACATATAATAGCCAAGTAATCAAAAATCAAATCTAAGCATACAAACATTTTAACACATCATTTAGTAGCTAACTTAATGAGCAACATAAGACTGACATTTTAAGCCCTTCCTCCCATCATTAAAATTATTTTTTCTTAAGACCAAAAATTTCCTATCTTACTAAAACATTCACTCCTGTGAAAACAGAACTCTTGTATGTCAACTGCCTAAGTATTTTTCCAATCAAAACACTATATGTGAAAACAGTACTACTACTTTTAAACCCACAAAAATTAGATTTTCCACTTACTCTTTGTATGTTTCCGTTTCAGGATCTTCACTCATAACATCATGCAGGCCTTCCACTGAAATGTTGATGATACCACAAAATTTATCATGGATAACACTGGAAAAGAACAAAATTTATCTTGGATAACATTGGGAAAGAACAGGAAAGTGACTTCGCTAAATGAACTAAACAGGAAATTTGCTCAATAACTGTAGAGCACATTTGCTAAGCAGTATTTTCATTGCTTATGCTTAGCTGAGCATGCTACCAAGCAGCTGATTTTTATTTTTTAATTTCATAAAGGCTTTAAAAATACTCAATAAACATTATTCTTACATAGAATAAAGCCTCATGTGTTACTGTTGAAAACTTAGAAATAATTGCAAATTGAACAAAAGAAAAAATACATTAGCACAGGACGCAAGAACTGAGCAGGGAGGGCATACTGCTGCTAGGAGGGAGGTCAGAGTCCTGGCTTCTGTTTCTAACACATTTACACATTTTCTCTCATCACTATTCAATGCAAAATCTATACAGAAACCCCTGAGCAAGGGACAGCTTGTATATATGCTAGACTCTTATTGTTTTCTCTGTCCAGACTTAGGAGTATTTTTTCACCCTCCTAAGCAGCTGAATGACTCCCCATGCAAGGTGAAAAATATCTGCACCCAGTTCTGCATGAACACCACAGCCCTGACTATAGAGAGAAAGGTGAGGTAGGTTTTCGCTACTGAAAACACAGGCACATCCCGCCATTTGAAACACTAGGCTATTTAAGACAACTGCATAGGGCTGGTAGGTATCACTCAGGACCTGAGAGACATAAGTACATTTCACCAACATGAGCTAAAGGCCAGACTGGATACCTCCCCATCACCCAAAATGACACTAAACACTTACATTTAGACACTTGACCCTGCCTTGAGAATTGATGTGCCTGTAGTATAAGGACATAGAAACATGATCTTCCCATGATGTAAAAAGAAGGTGACACAGCTCCTAGTTAATGGAAAGCAGCTGGGACTGCTATTTCTGCTGAATTTCCTGCTGCTGTGGGTCTAATGTCAGAGATGCACTGTTGTGGGCCTTTGGTGCATGGACTCCTACTCTGTGAACTACAAAAGGTTAAGTCATACCACAAGTGAAAAGATGTTCATCTCAAGAAGACTGCAAGAGTTCTAGCTATAAGCAGCAAAGAAAGAGAAATGTCATAACTGGTGATTGTAAAGTACAATTCTCTTCCTGGGACTGGCATTGACTGAAACAATTTATTATACCTGTTTGGAATTTTAGGCTTAATTTTCCTAGAAAGATGCTCCTGCTGTCTACTAGACAGAAGCAGACATGTTCCGCATTTGTCTAAAGGTACTGAAAATTAAGTTCATGTATTTTAGTTTGGTCCTTCCAGTTCTAATGTAGACAAATCTATTTATTAATATTTTTTCATTTTCTTTTCTTCCTTGGGATGAAAACTGAAAAACTGGATAAACTGTAGCTCCTTGTACATTAGCTATTGCATTTGAAAAACTTGTCAGATGTACAACAAAATTTTATGTATATTATGAACAGACTCCATATAGCAATGGATGCTTTGGAAAAAATGCATATCAAATTAGAATAGTAAGAATAAAAAAATTTCTTAAATTTGTTTGGTAAGATCATGATTCATCTCATGACAACTTTGTTTCCAAAGGATTACTTTTTTTCCCTTTTTTATTCAGCTACTATGAAATGCCAGGATCTGAACTGTACTTTACATATAAAGAAACTTGAAACTCTTAAATTCCATAAAATGAAAAATGACATTTTCAGTCAGTCTGGCTTATTCTTATTATCATTGTCAAGTATTATCTTTTAAAAGAAACCTTCACCCTTGCCTAAAAGCTTCCCCATCTCATCCAAAACAGCGAAGTATTACATGTTGTGAGACAATCTCTGTGGGGTTCTGCAGACAGCAAGAAAACAGCCTTCCAACCACACAGCACCACTGAGAAAGTGAGCACTGCCTGCAGAAGGAGCCCTTGGAGATAGAGCAGGTTTCCTTACTTGACTCTCGACTCAGAGATTCCTACCTAGCACACCTCCCATTAAAGCTCTTTTACCTCATACTGTTTTTGAAACACATCTCTAGGAAAATGCCATTAATATGGTTAATATTTTCCAACATGAGAAAGGAAACAGCTGTCTTCAGATTCATTCCAACAGAGGACACAGGGCATTCAACAGAGAACAAATGCAAACATTTTGCATCTTTGAAAAGTAAACAATGCCCTGTATGTATGCACCATTTGATTAATAATACAGATTGCTATCCATTACCTGGTAGTTACACTTCTTCCATCGAAGCTGCATGAAGAATCCCCTAACAGCCACAGAAATTTTATACTGGGGAGGAGAAACGTGTTTGACCCAGTGAAGGCATAACTTTTTCATCAGCTGCAGAACTAATTATGGTCAATCTATTCAGGGATATTAATTAACCATTCATGTAAATAAATACTATAGGCATAGTGCCCATTAACTTTCTGGGGGTTTTTCAAACTTCAGATTGATAGGAGTAGAGAAGGAGGCCCATTTTAGTAACTTTTGTTTCCAAAGATCTGTGATACTTCCAACGAGGGTAGTGATTGAAGACCCAAAGTACTGTTCTTGATAGTTAACTCCAAAGCACATAAAGAAATCATTGATTTCTTTACTTACAGAGGATGTTTTACATTTATGGCATAAGTGAGAAATGATATTTTATGTCTTTCTTCAGTGAAAGATGGAAAATTCACAGTGATTTTTTTTTAATTTTTATTTTTTTGCGGAAGGCAGAGCTAAATGTTTCAAAACGTGGCAACTCTTGCCTGCAGTTTTCAGTAAAGATAATACCTTCTCTTTTCTCCCTCCTCTTTCTGCCTTTAAATGGGACATGAAGTTTCCTCCTACCAAAGACTCACTGAAATGTTTACCAAGTATGGCATTATTAAACAATGCAACTATTTTTAGAATACAAGACACATGCTGGTGAAAAATAAAGACAGCATAAGCTCTTTGTGCTTTGAAAAAAGAAACCACAATTAAAGTTCAATGGCATTGTAAAAATTCATTAGGCCTCGTTTTCATACAAATTAGCGTAATATGTTTTTACAGACTAAAATTAGCCTGCTTGTTGCAAGAAGTGTGTTATAGTCATATGAGTAAATTCAGAAAAGACGGGGACAATATATTAGATGAACTTTCAAAACAGAACAGTTAATACTGTCCATACTGAAATGTTAACTCAGGAAGAAGGCACCATTTAAGCAGCTCTCCCCTTGGATTGCAGGTAATTCAGAAGAGCATGGAACAAAGACCGGTATCAGGTTATAACTGGTTTTATAACTACCCGTTTTCCCTAAGTTATCAGGACAAAATCTCATTTGGAACACAGCAAAAATTAGCAAACAGGCCCAGAATTAGAGGATATTAACTTCTATAAACTTGTTAGATCTAAATCACTCCAGAACCCACTTTCAAATAATGTAATTAACACACTAACTTTATTTTTTTATTAGAAAAAGGATCTTTTATACTGTCTGTAAATAAAATTCACCTTGCCTATAATGAAAACTAAATGTAGCAAACACTTAGGGCAGCTTGTAGATGAATAATCTCAAACTTTTTTTTTTAATTTCAAAGATTTCAAACTTTTTTTTTTTTATTTCTAAGATTGCATCATTTGACAGATAAAACAATAAAAGCCTTTCAAAGAAAAGACCACATCTGTTCTGAAAAAAGTTAATATTTTTTTTCTCATTCTGTTTATCATCTCCAATACACTCAGCTATCGATTCAACACTGGGTTCTAAGGTTTTATGCAAAATTTTAGAATTTAGATTACAATTACACATACTACCACTGTAAATAAAGCTTTATCATCATCCTAAAGCATATACCATGATAAATTTTCAGGGTTACTTAAATAAAATGGTCCCCGTATCTGCTATGCATCTTCCTCAGCCTATCCAAAAGGGAAGAAAAATTCTGCATGAGAAAACAAACTTTTTTAGACATTAAAAGGAAAAGGAGAAAATCTTTTCTGCTTTTCTACATTTATCAGGATAAAGCAATAAACACCAAAAAAGAAAAAAGCTGAATTTCATATCTTTACTAGTGCACAGTAGATTTGAGAAAGATTAATTAATTCTTTAATCATATCCCATTAGCCAAGGAAAGAGATGGTGTGGAGCAAATGGAGATTACTTTGAATTTACTCCAAGCAATGTAAATTATTATTACACACACACCCCCCTTAGGAGCTGCATAGTGCTAATGAGCTCCTAAATCAGCAGTGTAGCAGCTAAGGCAACATTTGCAAGGAGTCCTATGGCTGACCATAAGCTTAATGATCCCAAAGTGCCCTGTCACTTCATGAGGGCAGACTAAGTCTTCTAACATATTCTTTAATGATTTTTAAGAGTTAAGACATATGAATCACACATGTAAATGAAAGGATCTGTTTCCTAGTGTGAACAGTTAAACACAAAAGCTACTAAAAGAAGAAGGGCATTTCCCCCAGAACTGCAGAATGAATCTCTCAGTTACTTGTTAGTCTAATCCAAACTGTTGGCAAGCTGAATATTGGAGAATGACTCCACTCCAAATGATGGCTTCCAACTGCTTCAGTTCTTTGCTTGCACAAACAGTCGACAGCATCGATTTTCTTTCATGCTCCATCAGTACAGATGGTGAGACTCATACCTGGCAAAAAACTCCTAGAGCAGCTTGTCAGTTGACAGGATGCACCTTCAGAAGGAATCTCTTGTGCTCTTCTGTAGAGAGCAACTGTGGAAATCAGAGCCTAAAACAGAGCTATCCCCTAACAGATTTCTTTGAGAACTACATTTGTTCAGCCTCAACCTTTTCCCACTCCCAAAACTCCTCTAATAATGGCACAGCATCATTTCCAGCAGTGAAAACGTAACTAGTTTCCACTGAATGTCCATTATTTCTGAATACATTCATATGAAATTGAAAATTTAGAAACACAGCCCATAAAACTGCAGAACCTACTACTGTGTAATCACTGATTGAGCAGCTGTTATTAAATGGAAACAAATTCATCACTTATCACAAGGAATTACATAGGAGAGGCTGAAAGTAACAAAAATTGGTTGAAGAGAAAGAGACAGTAATGGATTAGCCACCAAAAAAAAGTTAAGCATTAATTACAATCAATGTTTTCCCTCCTAAAAAGCATTTGCCCATTACATTTAACATCTGATCTACAAGTAGAAAATTATGAGGAAATTGTTTCTCTCAAGCAATCCAAAATAGTTTAAGCTTTTGCCCAAGTAGTTGAATTAAGTGTTCTATAAAAGAGAACATTAATATAATATTCTTTTATACAGTAAGCTACAGTAATATATAGTATTACAATATAGTAAATTAATGATTTATCACATTCAACAGACAAACATAACAAGCAACAACAGAGGCACGCTTGCACATTTGCACCCATGCAGTGCAGTCAAGGTCAATATATATATTGGCAGCAAATAATATGTGTGATTCCTGGAAATGAACAAACAGGACAACAGAGAACAGCAAAACATGGCCACACACGAGTTACACCAGCAGAAAGTGGGCAGGCTAGAACAAGAACTCTAAGAGCAGTTCTGGTTCATTTGAAGAACACCCCAGTCCCCAGGCTGGATCCTGGAACAGCAAGATACTTCTACATAACTTAAATGGACCCCATGGAGGACAGACTACCAAAACATTTTTAATTTTCCCTGAGCAAAACGATCTAACTGTAACTTGTGTTGCTTACAAATCAAGTGGTTGAAGTCTAAGGCACAGGCCTATAGAAGACATATAGAATATGCCATTCAGCTAGCTGAAAGTTTTACAAGATTGGAATATTTAGAACATACTTTTATGACTTCTTCTTGAATAAAGTTTAAATTACTGGAGTAAGAAGTGAAAAAAACATACAGAATTTCAGGTTGAAAATAAAGCTACAATACACTAGATATAACCTGACAATCATGTATACAGAACATCATTATTGAAAATAGAAATTGAAAGTTAAAACAAATGCAAACTGTATAGTAAAAATAATATCCATCTTTTGATGATGAAGTCTAAAAATTAGGTATTCACTAAGAAAATGTACTTTGACTTGAACTTGACATTTCCAAATATACACCGGAAATACGTAAATATCATCAGCAATTCATCCAGAATTATATATTTAAAGTGTAGCATATTTCTTCAGTTTGTCTTATCTAGCCCAAAACTCCCTCACTATATAAATGACAAAATATCATTTATTTACAGTAATTAACCAGCTCTATGACCCTAGACATAAACATGGTCAATTTTTCAATCCAATAGAAATTTAGTTTCCCTATTAACTCCATTTTCAGGTATTATCATGAAATGATACAGATACAGAAAAAAATCACTTTAATATATTCATTAATATAGACCGAATACACAACTTTGTATATTAAAATATCATTGGTATCAATAAAAATTGTATTGTTTTAAATTCTTCTTTTCCTTGAGAACATGCTAGATATAAATATGCTTCCCCCCCCCCCAGTGATTATTAATAGAGGCAGAGTTGAAACTATATTACAATAAATAAGCATTGCTCTTTTTCTCATCCCATGGGTTTCTTAGCTTCATGAGCCTGATAAAAATTGATATTTTGCTTGCTTCAAGCTTCCAGTTAGCTATGGAATTTCTATAGAAACTTATGCTATTAAGTATTGTAAAAGAAAAATAAATGTGTACTTTATACTGCGTATATACTTGAGTTACAGGTGAAAGGTTCCTACAACAGGAACAGAGGATAATACACCTACCCATGTCAGATCTAAATGTCATCTAATTTAAAAAATAATCAATTTCAAAACATTGAAGAAGCACATGACACAGAACCCTAATTATACCATTTTCCACAATTGTATCAACCAGTTCATTTTAATCAGTGAATGTATTTTTAGAAAATTAGGTTCCTGCTTTCTTGAGATTTGAGATCACAATAAAGTTAACGTCAAATCAAATTAGATAAATTACAGTGACGAATGTTCAAACAATATGACCTGTGCCTGACTTTCAGATGCTGTTCGCTTGAGCAGCCTGATTTGGTCCAGTTCTGAATGCTCCATTGAATTCCGAGTTAGAGACTGCACTGGGTCAGTTATGTTGTATCTGCCAGGCTGATAAAACCCATAATATTCTATTCTCTTTTCCCCTGAGTTTTCCATTACCTTTAATTTCTGCCTAAACTGAATAATTTTACAAGTTAAGAACAAGATCACAGCACAAGCCAGAATGAAAAAGGCTAGTAAAATGTCAAAAGCCTGATTCAGCTTTTCAACCTGCTGTGTACAAAATAGGGATGTTTTTAATGATACAGGAGCAGCATCTGTTGGAAAGAATACTTTTCCTTCTACGGTTCTGTTAACAGGTATAATCTGTACTGGTATTTGCACTGGTAATGTTGATAATACTGTAGTTGCCCGTGATGGAACTTCAGCAGCATTTTCTTCATAGGGCAACAGGTTAGCAGATGTAGCTGTAGTTCCTTCCCAGAAAGCAACATATTTTGTTTCTGCATTGACAAAGTGTTCAAATGTGTTGTGCCTGTTTCCCTTATGCCATGCCATCAGCAAAGTGGTAGTGCTGTGATGGACACCTACATATCCTAGACTCCAAGCTGTTTCTGGGCTCGCAGTAGGGCTACTGCAGTTTGCAAACTGAGTCCACTTAATGTAATGCAAAGGTCTACCACGCATACTCAGAGGATTCTGACAGTGAATTTTTACAGCAATAGGTGATGATGCTAGCCAATTAAGTAACCCAAGCATTTTGCAGCTGCAGTTCCAAGGATTATAACTGACCTGTAGATGAGTTAAAGACACTAAGGGCTTGAGAACTTCAGGCTGTAACTCTGTAATATTATTAAATGCTAGACTGAGTATTTTAAGTGACTGTCCCATTTTTTCAAAGGTACCATCGCCAATACTGGTTATTTTGTTTCTGTCTAGCTGCAGATATGTTAAATTGTTCAATAAAGTAAAAGTGCTGGAATTTATATTTTCTAAATCATTATAACTTAAGATTAACTGCCTAAGATTGTTTAATCCAAAAAACACATTTACAGCAATACATTTTAGCTTTACGTTTTTTAAAGACAGATATCTAAGCTTGTTAAGTCCTTTAAACGCAAAAGGCTGTATTGATCCAATGGGATTGTGAGACAAAGACAGTCTTTCAAGATTTTTGAGCCTTCCAATAGCATTCGATGGCACAAGTGTTAAATTGTTACCTTCAAGGAACAAATACGAAAGATTTTCAAGATGATGAAATGCTGAATCTGATATCCGTGAAATCTTATTATTGGCTAAATTAAGTGTTTGGAGACTTAACATTCCCAAGAAAGTCCCACTTCCAATGACACTGATACGATTTCTTTGAAGTGTTAAATATCTAACAGAAAGGAGATCACTAAATAATCCTCTGGAAACAAAAGCTATTTGATTATTCTGAAGGTATAAACAGTGAAGATTGGAAAGACCTTCAAAGATTCCTGGATCCAGGCGCTTAATATTATTGTTATTTAGATGTAAGTAGCACAGTTGGGGGAGTTCCACAAAAGCTTTCGGGTGTACATACGAAATACTGGAGTTATCCATGTAGAGCGCAGCAAGTTTCTGAAGGCCTCTTAGTTCATTCGAAGTGACACGTGATATATTATTGCCACTGAGGTACACAAGAACTGTCGTTTTGGGGAAGTTTTGCGGGATGCTTGAAAGCCCTAAATTACGGCAGCTAACTTGTCTCCCTGTGCAGAGCTGGCAAGCAGCTGGACAGGCAAGAGCCTCCTTCTGGAGCAGCAACAAAAGAAAACAATTAAGGATATGCAGGAATGCTCCCAGACAGGGTGGAGAACTTTGCAGACCACACATATCCCTGTCTTTGGCCTTCTCACTCATCTCTGACTTTGCTAGTAGAGATAAAAAGAAGTTTATAAATATTATTAATTCAAAAGTTTGAAGATTCTACATGTACAGACTTTAAAATATAAGCATTGTTTTCAAGACTGGTATTTTACATATTCACCTCTGATGTCAAATATGCAATTTAAAAACAAAACCAAGTATAAGTTTGAACTACACTGAAAAAATTGTCAAAGTAGATGAACAATGAAACGAATGTAATGCCAGCCTAGCCAGAAAATATTTAACTGGTTGCAGCATGAAAGTAACTAAGCTGCCAAAATAACAGCTTCTAGTAAATTCACAATATTGCTTATTAACTATTTATTATAGTTAAGAATGCCGAGAAAATGCTTCAGTAGCATTCAGGTAGAAATGCCAACTAGAAACAAGTTTCTGTCCACTGGAGGCTCATTTATAATTCGAATTTTACTTTTTTAAAGCTGAATTACATTCAAAATAAACAAACAATTCCTTACCCCAAATGTGAAGTTCATTATTTCTGTTATTTTGCTGTTTTGCAGTTCACTGGACCAAGTTAGAAGCTGAATCGATGAAACCTCTGTAAAGGCAGTATTGCCGTGTACTAGAGCACTCGCATTTTGCCCCAGGATTTGCAAATGTTTGCTCAGGAAACTAAGAAAGAAGTGGTTAAAGTCAGGTTGCCATGGATACAGGAAACCCTGAGACAGGAAGCCATTTTATCTATGCTTCAGAATATTGTTGGAAAGGAAATCTAAATTATTTGTTTCTAGAAAACCAAGAACTATCTTAGTTTGTAACAGTTGCCGATTTGTGGTTTTTAAAATACTGTTTTTAACTAGGAAAGCTCAAAAGTGTTTTATCTAAGTTAGGTATAACTTTTAGAATAAAGCATACCTATTTGTAACAGCACTACTGCATTATCTGTAAATCCTTTATCTTTCAGCCAGAATCCAAAATGTTTTATTAAATCAGTAGCAATGCTTATGCTGTTGTCTGTCTGCAGATCCAAACTCTGCTGCCACACTCTAGCAGCCCAGCAGAGAGGGAGAAGTTGGGAGGTCTGGAGGGCAGAGCCCCAGTACCTCCTGCATTCTGGCAAGGCACATCCTGCCAGCAATCTCAGGGAAACCCACGAAATCTTTGAGATGTGAAACACATGATGTGGTACTGAACTGCTGCATAGTAGTATTTCAGACATGAACAAGGCACTTTGTTAAATCTCACTTTACACCACTTTTTTTTAAAACCAATTTATCTACAACAGACTGCATATTCAGACAGCCACACCTTTGGTCCACACCATTTGTTTCCTGCCCTGTCCCTTGTGCAGATAAACACTTAGTGCAAATGTGTGTGCTATAAATATCCCACTCACTTAAATACCGGAGATTACATCCTCTGTTTATCCTTCACAAGGACTAAAGATCTGCAAAATCCAGTCACATCAAAGGAGGAAAGGGGAAATAACAAAATGAGATGGCAGATTAGAGACTACACCTACAAATAGCAATGTAACTATAAAATAAATTATCTGTATTGTAACAAGATCTTCCCCTCAGCAAAATGAAGATAAAGCCCATCAGTAGCCATAGCCACGGAAGAGACACAAGAAGAATCAAGTCGCTTTGGCCATAATGCTCTCCCACAGGAAGCACAAGTTCACGTAAGGGGCAAAATGCATGAAGCACTTGAACAAAGGAAGCAGAATAGACAAGGACATGTCTTGAAGAGGCTTTCTTCCAAATTCTGCCAAAAGAAACTTAGATTTCTGGAAGTTTTAAAAAAATGCTTTTGACCATATATAACTGGCTTTTTCTGTTTGAAATCCGTAAAGCATTCCGTATCAAGAGAAATACTTCAGGTTTTTTAACTTCAGTTTTTTTAACCTGAGCTGGCCAAAATTATCTAGATTTTGCAATGAGGAGAATGTTTTTTAAAAAGACAAAAATTAACAAAAAACTACCTTCATTTCTATCAGAGTCAATACCTTTTACAATATCTAGTCTGAAGTAGTAAATCAGTAGAACATACATCTCAATATCTAGTCTAAAGTAAGAAATCAGCAGGACCAGTAAAACTGATCCATGGGCCACTTTAGACAAAGACTGTATCAGTTACGACACAGAATCTGAACTGCATTTGGTTCTTTTTTTCTGAGACCATTAAACCAATAGGAAAACTAATTGTTCATTATATTTAACTTTATTTTCACATTTTTTCATGGTATTTAACATATTCACTGATATAAACAAAAATAAAATAAAATAAAATAGTATGTCATTTCTTTAAAGGGAAAACACTAAATAGTTTTGAACAGTTCCCAGCATGATTATAGAAGTATCCTGGATATACGGGAGAGAACAGTAACAGAAAAATATTACCCAATAATACCAAGAGATTGATCAAAAATGAAAAATTACTTCAAACAGGAAATTATCTCCTACTGAAGCTTCATCACCTATAGCCCATTTATGCTGATAAAGAAATCTTGGGTAAAGATTTCTTGGGTAAAGAAATCATTAAAAATTACTTCTTCCAAGATGTTCTGTGTGAAACAACCCCACAGGTCTAAAAGAAGCAACTCCCAATATAAAAAGTTTTAAGAGGCAAATATCAGTAGGTCTCCTATTTGAGAAATGTCAGCATTAACTTATTTAGACAGACTGAAGAAACTGCTGAAGCTCTATGTGATACCAGACAGCATGGAAATAAAAAGAAACCAATATAGTGACCAGATAAAAAGAAAGCTGGTGCTCATTAAGTGGCTGGATGTATCCATGGTCTTGTACTAAATGTACCTTATCAATATTCATAAAAACTTTGCTCAAACCCTTAGCTGCCACTGTGGTTCTGAGCACACCACTGACCTTTGCAATTCTCCAATCCCATGTACAGAATGAGGAAGAAAAAAAAAAAAAAATCATAATTCAGATCACAGTTCCTTTCAATTTGCACTAGGAAATGTGGAGAAAGTCCTGTCTTACACTTCTGTAAACACAGCGCCTGGAGGCCTGCAGAGCCTATCAGATTATAATTTCCAGGTATTGCTTCATTAATAATGCACACTGTTAAAGTATCTGAAAGCAGTATCTGTTAAAATCAAAAGGCAAAATAAAATTCCATGTAGCTGATACAATTCTTGGGAAAACCATAAAAAAGACTGGGATACACATATAACTTGGACCAGCATTTCTCAAACTGTCCTGTACTTAAACAATGAAATTCATTACTAGTTGAAAACTGTAAGGAAAATCCCAAACATTTCTTTCAAACAAGTTTAGCCAGTTCCAATAGTATGTATTTTTTTGCTGCAAATTTTGTTGTCCAGTGATAGAAATGCCAGGTTTATATCTGAATACAGCTTCATATGGCAGAAGAGAAAATTATTTTTGAAACCCGAAGTGAATTTTATCTTAATATGCTAACATTGATAAAGTTACTAATGTTATTACTTTTAAATATATTAAAATCTAGTTCAACAATGACTCCTTGTCAATACAAGCATGAAGTCTCAGCAACAGCAATTTATCAAAATGTGTATAAAATGACAGGTCAAAGTAATTGAAAGAACATGCAAGCACTGCATCCAGTGCAGGCTTTCCAAACCACCTCTATTTTCTCACTGATCCATGTTAGATTAAAGTCAATATAATCCAGGTTATGAATATTAGCTAGCATAAAACAGTCATCCAACTCCAATTTATGTATAGCAGAAAAACGTGTAATAACTTTAGAAATGGGCTCTGAAGTTACCCAGCTTTAAAACATATTAAAGCCAATTTTTGGAGAGGGATTTCATTATCATAATCATTGCAAAAGTATATTAAGGCTTACAAAACAGAGGATGACCAGTTTTCAGCACTGTAATTACTCTTTTGAACTTAGAAGAGCGAAACTATCTTTTGTTCTCCCACCACATATTTAGCAAGTACCTCCTCTTGCAGGTCTTCCTTCCTTCTTTTAATTCTCCACAGGTGGACTACGATACAACTTTCTTGTTTTGATTTCAAATACCTACCAATTTCTGCCCACGCCATTCTCCAGATAAAAGCACAATTCAAAATAATTCAGCTACCAACATACTGCTTGGGTAGCATACATATCAGTATTTAATGTTATTTCACTTACCTATATCCAGTAACATCTGCTGTGGACACCTTATTAATGTTAACTTAGCAGACCTCAAAATCCCTTGTTTTTCTCATTATCATCCATATAATCAGAAATTTTGAGATAATCTCACATATTGAAGATTTCTCCTACTTCATATTCCTGCCTAAGTAAAAATATTGCTTCAGTTACTGAAAATTTCTGTTCCACAGAGTGCTATTCCATTCTCATAATAGCAAGAGTTAGTTACAAAGGACAGTCACAGAAATTAATCAAATGCAAAACCACTCCTGTTTAATAAACCCACAGTACTAAACATTTGTATATGTAAACATACATCACAAAGTCTATTTCAAAATTATGAAGCTGTCTTTGTAACTTATTTTCCTTTCTAAATTTGTCATTTATTATTGATTAAATTACCAAGAAGGTTTTGCAACATGCTGAGAAACAGAAATGAAAACTATAGAATTATTTTTCCCATTGAGGATAAGAAAATAAGTTTCCCTTCTCTAAATCTTATTTGTCTTTAGGCTCTAGTAAAAGAATATGACAGAAAGCTCTTATGAAACTAAGGGCTCACTTTAAGAAACCACTAGAGCAAATTTCTCTCCTAACAGTAAATAATTATTGCACCAATAAACTGCATTTGTCATGCAAAATTACAAAAATAGTATTCTATGGAGTGAGCAATAAATCTGTGAACAAAATAACAAAAAAGGTTGGCCATCAATGAAACCCACAGATGTGATATGCTGACAATAACTATATAGCTTCAGCTTTTACTATTCACTGCAATATTTAGTAAACTGTTCAAATTAAAAAAGCAGTAAGAAATGTACTCAATATGAATGCAATTCAAAAGGTTTAAAGAACTCAAAGCAAAGTAATTTCCCAAATTTCAAGCA